AGTTTATTTAGTGGGTATTGGGAACAGTGTGAGTAAGTAGTTATGGAGGAAGGGGAAGAAGGGGGGACAGAAGAGAAGAAAGAGAAACAAAGGGAAGGGAGAGAGGCTGAAGCTGCCTCTCCAGAAGGGCAGACAGAGAGAGGAGAGCTGGAGGAGGAGGGTGATGTGGGAGTGTCATATATCAATCTGTTGATTTCATTGGCTGAGCAATAAAGAAACTGCTGGCCCTGATAGGTTAAAAGATAGGTGGGCGGAATAAACAGGATAGGATGCTGGGCGGAAGAGGAAGTGAGGTCAGACTCTGCTCTGCTCCCGGAGAGACCCAACAGCTTTGCTCTCTGGAGCAGAGACACCAGCATGGATGAAGGCTAGACTCTTCCCGGTAAGCGCACCTTGGGGTGCTTACACACATCATTAGAAATGGGCTAGTCCAGGTGCGAGAATTAGCCTGTAAGGGCTAGAGTTCATGGGCCAAGCAGTTCTTTAAATGAATACAGTTTGTGTGTTGTTATTTCGGGCATGAGCTAGCCAAGCGGCCGGGGTGTTGGGGACGCAGCCCCGCCGCTCCTATTTCAACAGATGGCGCCCAGACGTGTGGACAACTGAATCCACAGAAAGCCTGAAAAAGCTTGGGAAAGAGTAAAGCATGTTTTCTTGGTAGCAGCAGTTTCTCGGGTCTCCTCTGCTTGTTAGAAGCAAGCAAGCACTCTCATCTAAGAGAGGCTTCCTGACTCAGCTTCAGCTGCAAAACCCTGCAGCTCATTAAGAGGTCCTGCCACAAAACACTTAAATGGTGTTGACGAAAAGCTGAACGCATGCTTTTCGATTTTCAGCTGTAGCAGGAAAAAAGCTGTGCCGTTTAAAAATGCCGGCTTTCTGGGCTGTCCTGCCACGGCAAACTCTGACTCTTTTACGCAGGCGGTTCGTGTGGTTTGCAAGCACAGGCTGCTGAAGCTCGCTTGCTGGCAGGGACCTTGAAATGCCATAGAGTTGTGGCAGTAAACATGGCTACAACCGGTACCTCAGCCATGAGGCTGGAAAGCTAAGGAATGGACTGGATCTAGCTGGCAAAGCCACGGCTTTAATCCTACTCATATTGCTCAGTAATTTAAAGGCTCGTGTGGTCAGAAAAAGAGAGATATACAGTAAAGAGATTCAAAGATAAAGAAAATGTTTAAATGATTTACAGTGTGTTAAAAATATATGCAAGCTAAAAGTTAAAAGTTTTAAAAAAAAAGTAAGAAAAAGAGAAGTTGTGTGTGGTAGTACACGCCTTTAATCCCAACACTTGGGAGGCAGAGGGAGATTGACCTCTGTGACTTCAAGGTGTGGTAGCACACGCCTTTAATCCCAGTGCCTAGAAGGCAGAGACAAACAGATCTCTGTGAGTTCAAGGTGTGGTAGCAAACACCTTTAATCCCAATGCCTGGGAGGCAGAGACAGGCGGATCTCTGAGAGTTCAAGGAGAGCCTGGTCTACAGAGTTATTCCAGGTCAAAGAGATACAGAGAATATAAAATAAAAGTAAAAATAAACGAAATAGAGGTTAAAATAAAGCGTACAAAGATGGAAAATACACAGAGAATCTTGATACTGTATACTATTATGCTCTCTTTGAATTGTTTGAATGCTGAGGAAGGAGCAACAGCTGCTAAAAGATATTTGTTTATAAATGCTGCTGAACTAATCCATCGTAGAGATTTTGATGCCTTGACTTTGAAATTTGGATCTAAGGACATGATACTTTGGAAAGGAGTTTCTTATTTTGTTTTCACAGAGGATGAGACCCTGTTCATTTCTTCTATTCCGATATGGTATGATGGACCACGCCCTCCTGAACGGTTGCTGTGAATACCTTCAGAAAATTGCTTCGCTCAACTGCCAACTGAGATGAAACTAGCACACAGGTTATACCATGAAAGACCTAATTAACGACGCCCCCATTCAGCAGGAAGCAGTTTGGAGAGAAAAAACTGCGCCCATATTCCCAAATATTGTTTATAAATGTTCTTTTACATTTAAAGGGGGAGATGATATAGGTATGAATAATTTACATTGATATGGATTTTGCTTTAGTGATTTAAATTTAAGGTTAATTTTGTAATGTATATAGGTTGTTAATGAATAATCATTAATAATAGTTAAGTTTGTAGTCATGTTAGTTAAGATTTTCTAGATGTGCATAGATATATTTTAGATAGGCATTCTTCATATTTTTCAAAGATTATAGAATATGGCATTTTAAATGTTTTAATAACTTAGGACTTTTCATGACAATGAGACACTCTGCTCCTGGCAGCACCAATCTACTTCAAGAGGAAGATGGGCATCGAAGAGGATCCTTATGGAGTTTGATAGCCATTTGGGCAAGAAACTGCTCTTGCCTGGACTATTGCATAAACTGGACACAGAGAACCCGCAGAGAGAGGACTGCTGAACTTGCCTAAAGGTGAGATGATCTTTCGGGGTTCCTGATTCATGAAAGAGTCTGCAAGACATTCTTCAGGACAAGCAGATAGTGACTGCCTTTGAAATTTCCTGCTTTGTGGAAATGTCTGCTGGAAACTATGGGCCTGTAGGCCGAAGATGGATGCCCCAACGGTACAGAGGAACTTTGGGTGACTGTCCAGGCAGCGAGATGTCTCTGTCATTTCTAGAGTTTGAGAGTTTGCTTATTTCTTATTTGTTTAGGTAATATTGTATCTTTCTGGACTGTTTGATGGAGTTAAGAATAGTTAGCTATAGTTATAGTTTTCCTTAGTTATGATATAGATTATTGTAATTTTTACTTGATAACTGTTTTGTTATATGTAATTTTTCTATGTTAAGTTAAAGCCTTTTTTTTTTTGTTTAAACAGAAAAAGGGGAAGTGATGTGGGAGTGTTATATCAATCTGTTGATTTCATTGGCTGAGCAATAAAGAAACTGCTGGCCCTGATAGGTTAAAAGATAGGTGGGCGGAATAAACAGGATAGGATGCTGGGCGGAAGAGGAAGTGAGGTCAGACTCTGCTCTGCTCCCGGAGAGACCCAACAGCTTTGCTCTCTGGAGCAGAGACACCAGCATGGATGTAGGCTAGACTCTTCCCGGTAAGCGCACCTTGGGGTGCTTACACACATCATTAGAAATGGGCTAGTCCAGGTGCGAGAATTAGCCTGTAAGGGCTAGAGTTCATGGGCCAAGCAGTTCTTAAATGAATACAGTTTGTGTGTTGTTATTTCGGGCATAAGCTAGCCAAGTGGCCGGGGTGTTGGGGACGCAGCCCTGCTGCTCCTATTTCAACAGGAGGGAGATTGGTAGTGGGCCAGGCTTGTCTCTTAAAGGGACAGGGTACCCAGGTGACAGACCAGGACAGCAGGTTTACTTTTACAAGTGAGTAGTGTAGTAGCCTGTAATGAGTGCCTCAGTGTTGACATCCACGTTTCACCCTTGACACAGGGCTGAGGAGCTACTGAGTATGGAAATGTGATGATGAGGACGCCTTTGTGACTTTATGACAGTGACTTTCCAGATTCCGTTACCTGTCACCATTCATGGTCCTTATCAGTTCTTCTTCCCACTTGGTAAACACTCCAAGGTTCACAACCCATTTTTCTCATAAACTATGACAGCATTTGTAGCAGTTTAATTTTTAATGTGAATATATACATAAATGCTTAGATAAGCCCAGCGTGGTTTTGTATATTTCTAGTTATGTGATGGTATGGAAAGCATGCTTGAAAATGACAGGAAAGGCATACTCAGCAACCAAATGAGGGTAACACACCCTGTCTCTGTGTTGAATGCTCACAACATTCACAACTCTGTGTTGAATGCTCAGGATTGTTGTTCTTACAACTTTCCTAAACATATTGCCCACCTGAGTCTGTGGCTTGAACCTGCACAGTCCCTTAGTCTGTTTTTTTTTTCTTTCAGCTCCTACCCTGTGATGCTAGTTTGAGGATGTAGAGCTTTCTGAAAGTAGGGACTGGTTGGAGGAAGCACAGCACTAGGAGCAGACCTGCATTGAAGATTATACCCACTTATTTCCTGCCAGTAACTGTGTGGTTTGAATAAGAATGGCCCACATAGGCTCATATTTTTGAATGCTTAGTCACCAGGGAGTGCAACTGTGAAAGAATTAGGAGGTATGGCCATGTTGGAGGAATAGTACCACTGGGCTTAGACTTTTCAAAAGCTCACAGCGAGCCCAGTTCACTCTCTTGACCTGCAGATCATGATGTAGCTTTTAGCCACTGTTCTTGAGCCATGCGAGCCACCATGCTCCCCATGATAACTGACTAACCCTCTGAAACTGAGCAAGACCCCAGTTAAATTTTTTTTTCTAAGAGTTGCCTTAGTCATGGTGTCTCTTCATGGCAATAGAACAATGTCGAAGGCAGTTACATATCACTGTAAGATCCCATGACTTCTGTGGTCATCATGCCTTCCTCATATTAATGGACTGAGAACATGTTAGGAAATATCCTTCGCTGAGTTGTTCTGCCATCTGTTTGATCACAGCAATACAAAAGTAACTAATACAAATGCCAGGAGAGTTAAGCAGCACATGCGTACTGGGAGCAGGTGGATTGCACATTTGAACTGAGGCAAGAATGATCATTGGCTCAGGATGGTCTTGCGCATGTGAAGATGCTGGGGATAAAATACACTAGTAGAAAATATCTTCGCTTTTCAAAAGGATGAGCTCGGTCTGAAGTCGAGCTATTTAAGAATAGTTTCTGATGATACTAAGTGTGTAGTAGCAAGTAGCACAGTAAGTCAGCACCAGCTCAGAAGCACAGAAATGGATGCCATTCCATACAGTCTACAGTATTTGGTGAACTATGATATATTCAACATATTATAAAACCATTGTTTTAGGTGATTTTGTTCAACTATAGACTAATAAAAATGATCTGAATATACGCTAGACTCAGGTTTGAAGTTTAGTAACATGTATCAAATGCATTTTCAACCTATAAAACACTTATTTAAGCTTGGATTTTTAGAAACATACCATCAAAGTAGAATTGTATTTATTGAAGAACAATGTTTTGTACAAAATACTATGCCTAAACAATAAACAGTAAGTTAAAACAAAAGAAAACCCCACAAAACATGGATCTAGAAGATTGAAGTTGGTCTCACACTCACAGCAAGGCCAAATCTTATGATAAATGTCACACAAATCCAGATGTAGATGTCCCTTGGTGATTCAAATGAACAAAACAACAAAAAATCCTGCGCAAATCTTTAAACTTGGAGAAACTGTATTTTTAAAACACGTAAAAACACCTATCCTTATTAATTGAACTGAGTTCTAGTGACTTAGGTTTCCTTTTATTCCATTACTGCAGGCTTCCTGGTAAGAAATACTAATTATCAAAGACATAACTGTATTCACACCTATAGTGTAGCCAGGCATGTGTATACATGTCTAGTAGAAATGCAGTCTGGGGGGACATTTTATGTTTAGTACCAAGAGATTCCTCTAAAACAAACAAATCCTTCAGAAATTTAAGACTAACTTTTAAACATCACATAATGACTCAGGTGTATTATCCTTAAAATAGTGAATTACAGGTCAACCTGGGTTCAGAGTAACGTACTGTCTCAAAAAACAGTTAAAAAGAACAGTGATTTTAATGAGAAAACACATGATCACTTATGGTTTATGGACAAATTACATATTAGTTCACAAAAGGTAAGGACCCTGTAGTCTCTGGTAAAAAGGCACTTAGCCTAGCATGTGTCTTTTGGTATGAGTAAAGTACAAAGGGCAAAGTCAGAGTTAGAACACAAGTCTGAAGTAAAATTAACATATGGACAAAGGTGCCATTACTTGTAAGCACAGAATAATGTGACATTAAGGGAAAATACTGGCATATATTCTACCTAATATATGATTATGGTAGGATATTTGCAGGTATCTTTTGATTTGATGATAATCTGTAAATTGACCAAAAAAATAGTTGAGAACTCTAATGTGCAAAGTTTTCAAGAAAACACATATGAAAATATAAAACACAAAGTTAAATTACCTGAGAAGTAAACAAATGGACTGCACTGAGATGTTACAGTAAAATAGCACAACTATGCTCTGTCATTTCCAGAAACGACTAGAGTACCAGAGCTTTCTCCTAGTCAAAGGAGTAACTGGGAGTGGTGAAATGGTCGAGGTATGGCATAACTGGCAGAAGCAGGTCACTGAGAATGTGTGTCCGTCTTGTATCTTCACCTGATTCCTTATAATGCACACTATTCACTTCTGTGTGCACAATGATAGACATTCTTCTACTTAATGACTTCTCTGCCATAATGGACTGTGAGCCAAAATAAGAATAGAAAAGATACAGTATAAATATCAAAGAGCCAGGCATGGTGGCGCATGCCTTTAATAACAGCATTGGGGAGGCAGAGGCAGGTAGATCTCTGAGTTAGATGCTAGCCTGGTCTAAAAAGTTCTAAGACAGTCAGGGTTACACAGAGAAACCTTGTTCCAAAAAATAAAAACAAAAAACCCTAAAACCCCAACAAAATAAAACAAGACAAAAAACATCAAAGAAGCTGCTACATGATCTCAATAGAGAAGTTCTACACATAAACTTCATTTCAACAGTTCATTAATATTACTCTAAAACATATTAGAAACACATTGTGTTACATATGGATCCAATATGAAAATATACATGACTTGGCTAAAAAGAGACTACCTTTTAAATTCCTGACTCACTGCTTAAAGAAACCTTAGAGAAGAAGTCATCTGAAAAATTATTTACAGAATAAAAAATAGAAGTAAACATTCCAGAGACTTATTTTCTCAATTATTGACCAATTAATGCAATATTCTTTCTCAAACTTATTCATAAGAATCTTAAAAAAATTATGAATTCTATTACATAAGATTACATAAGGAATTTTCACAAAATCCTGAAAACTGTTTCATAGCTGATAACTTTGTTACACAAGTTTGGATACTGGGTAAATTTTCAGAGGTCCACCAACTGAAGACATCTGCACATCCATTTAAGATTTCTCACTATAGTATGTACTAGCATGTCTGTGAATACAGGCAACATGACGAAAGGCATTCCTTCAGACAACATGACACTTGTTCTCTGCCCTATGCATTGCCATGTTAAGAATAATTTCCCATGTTCTACACTTAGGATTTCCTTCTAGTGTGAGTCTTCTCATGTATTTTAAGGGAGCTGGAACGAGTAAAGGCTTTGCCACATTGCTTGCAAATGTAAGGTTTCTCGCCAGTGTGAATTTGTTCATGTCTTTGACAATCACTTAAAGTATAAAAGGATTTCCCACACTGTTTACATACAAAAGGTTTCTCTCCACTATGAATCCTTTCATGACGTCGAAGGGAACTATGACCAGTAAAGGCTTTCACACATTGTTTACACTTATATGGTTTCTCTCCAGTATGAATTCGTTCATGTATTCTAAACTTACTAAAAGAAATAAAACCCTTCCTGCACTGCTCACATACATAGGGCTTTTCACCACTGTGAATCCTTTCATGATTTCGAAGGGCACTGGGATTAGTGAAGGCTTTCCCACAATTCTTACAGACATAGGGTTTCTCACCAGTGTGAATTTGTTCATGTCTTTGACAACCACTCAAAGAGGAGAAACCTTTTCCACAATGCTTACATACATAGGGTTTTTCCCCACTGTGAATTCTTTCATGTCTTCGAAGTGAACTATGATCGGTAAAGGCTTTACCACATTGTTTACATACACAGAGTTTCTCCCCAGAATGAGTTGATTCATGTTTTCGGAAGTTACTGGAAGAAATAAAACCTTTCCCACACTGCTTACATACATAGGGTTTTTCCCCACAGTGAATCCTTTCATGGCATCGAAGGGAGGTGTGCCGAGTGAAGGCTTTTCCACACTGCTTACATACATAGGGTTTCTCCCCACTATGAATCCTCTCATGGTATCGAAGGGAACTGTCAACACTAAAGACTTTCCCACACTGCTTACATTTATAGGGTTTCTCTCCAGTGTGAGTCCTTTCGTGTATTCGAAGGGTACTGGAAGAATTGAAACCTTTTCCACATTGCAAACATACATGGGGTTTCTCACCACTGTGAATCCTCTCGTGATATCGAAGAGAACTGAGAGTAGTAAAGGCTTTATCACACAGCTTGCATACATAGGGCTTTTCTCCAGTGTGACATCGTTTATGTGTCTGAATAGAATTGTAATAACTGAAGGCTTTCCCACACTGCTTACAGACATAGGGTTTCTCTCCAGTGTGACATCGTTTATGTGTCTGAAAAGAATAGTAGTAAGTGAAAGCCTTCCCACATTGTGTACACACATAAGGTTTTTCTCCAGTGTGAGTTCTTTCATGGTCTTGAAAGTTAGTCAAGTAACTGAAAGCCTTACCACATAGATTGCATCTGTATGGCTTCTCTCCAGTATGAGTACGTTCATGTCTTCGAATGTTACTCAGAAAAGAAAAGGATTTCCCACATTGTGTACATAAATAGGGTTTCTCTCCAGTGTGAGTTCTTTCATGTTCTTGAAAGTTAGTTAAACAAGTGAAGGTTTTACCACATATATTACATTTGTATGGTTTCTCTCCAGTGTGAGTTCGTTCATGTCTTCTAATGTTACTCAAAAAAGAAAAGGTTTTCCCACATTGTTTACATACATAGGGTTTCTTTCCAGTGTGGATCTTTTCAACATACTGAAGAAAATCAGGATAAGTAAAGGCATTATAATGCTGCTTATCCAAACATATTTCTTCTCTAGTTTCATTATTCACACGTATTTGAATGCAGCCATTACTTTTGAAGATTTTCTCACACTGGTTAAATTCATAGGAGCTCTGTTCAGGGTCAGTGTCGTCACGCTTCAGAAAGCATTCTGGATAAATGAAGGCTTTCTCACATTCCCCAATCTTAAAGAGTCTCTCTCCACATAGCTCATATTGATGAGGTTTGTGTGTAGTCTGAAGAGGCATAGACACATTAAGAGATGAATGACCAATGAGCATGTTGTCTTCATACACATGACTTTCACAAATCATTGTTCTATGAGAAATTTTCCTGTTCACAATGGTGTTGGGAATCTGTCTGAAGATTTCTTCACATTCACTATCTTTGTTATGTTCCAACAGTCTTTCTAAAACTTCATTTCTGTTTAAAAAAAAAAGGAAAGTATACCAATAAAGTTATAAATTCCCTATCAGCAGAATTCCTGAGAATTTCTGAATATGACTGAAGATTCTACAGAACGTAGAGACAGGTAATATCAAGACACTGTATTTATATAGGGTTTCTTTTTGTGTTAACATGTATTTACTATTTGTGTGTGCACATGCTATGGTGTGCATAAGAAAGTCAGAGGACAGCTTGTAAGAGTTGATTCTCTTCTATTATATAGGTGTCAGAGATTGCACTTGGGTCATCAGGCTTGGTAGTGAGTACCTTTACTTGATGAGTCATTTTCCTAGCCCAATCATATGGGACTTCTTAATACCTCTCATAGGCTAATTATTTTGGAAACAATGAATGTCTAGGTCTTATTTAGTTTTAAGGTCAATTTCTTGCTATGATGCATGGGGTACCTTCAAATTCGGCACCCCTTCAGACTCCTAATAGCTGGGAATGAGGGCATGAATGATCATATTTGCTTCTATATCACAGGTAAATGTACTTGATTATTCTTTATGCAAAATGCTTAAGTAAAAACCATTCTTTATCTAAATTTTTTTCATATATATCTTGAAGATTGTTCATTTCCAGAGTAAACATAAAATTTCTTTATATTTTATATATACTCCATATTCAAATTCTCAAGGAAGGTACAAACACTATTTTTTATTAACTTTGTTGTTTGGACAAAAGTTTGTATGTACAAAACAATTAGAAAGTACCTCTTACTTGCATCATCACAGCAATACTGTAAATACTTCTAATCCTATACGTACTTTTAGAGATAAATGCTTTAGATTACATCACCTTGAAGCTATCAGGAGAACTAGCCAAAGAAGCTGACTTGATTTTAAAAACTACTCATTTCCATTATGAGACACATTATCATGAGCTGGCAAAGTTACCTTTGATTTCTTCTGGAATATCTGTGGTCATTGTCTATGTGCTGGTCTTCTTGTGTTTTTCCTAGAATACAGACCCAGGGAAATCTGATTTACTTACTTATAATGAAAAAAAAATACTAGATTCTATGTATAACATGACCATGACTGATATAGCCACCAAATTTGTCCTTTCCGTATTCTAAATCATGGAGCAACATTTTTGAGCAATACTTATAGTCTGATTAACTAAGTAAAGAATGAGTATGACCTCATTCATACCTATGGCAGCCAGGTTCCTGAAGGTTTCCTCCATCACATCTCTGTGCAGCTTCTTTTGGGAAGGATCTAGTAAAGCCCACTCCTCCACAGTGAAGTTTACAGCCACATCTTCAAAGGTCACAGAGCCCTAAAGTAGCCAAGACATTTCCAAAAGAAAAGATGAGACACACAACATTGAAAATCTGTGAGTGTTCTCTAAATGTTCAATACATATCTTGACCATCACATTCTTATTTTTACATTCATAACTGTACTCTCTGACACAAGAATTCTCACATCAGCTTTGAATTCTTGGTAAAGCACAACAATCACAAAATACCAAGTATGTTGCTGGAGATTACACTTTCTACTGGTGACAGGCCTTTATCATTCCCCAATACTACTACTAGTGCAGACATGAGTTATCAAGCAGTTGCTTTAAAATCACATATTTTAAGAACAGATTATGAGAGTGAGTGGCCTCATCCAATACTAGTTGCCATAAATGTTCTGCCTCATTGTAGATCTAAAGCAATGCAGCTAAGTGACAAGAATGAATTATCTGAACCTTGCCATAAAATAAGCCTGTTAAAAAGTATAAGTTACTTTTCTCATCATGTGACTAAATAGTAATTCATGAAAGATTTATTTTGAATCATGTCTTGAGAGCATCTATCGTGGGGCTGGGGGCGGACACTGGGGACAGGATCATGCAGCATGGACTCCACATCAGGGAAGAACAGGAAACAGAGCAGGGAATGTTGGTTTACACTTGAATTATTCCTTTTCCCTCTTTTATTTGTCTGGCATCTCAGACCATGATTATGTGTAATGGTTGGTGATGAATAACCAGGCAGATGGGCATCTGGATACACCTGAAGAGATTTATCTTGACTATGCTGTGATGTGAGAGAATCCATTTTAACTGTGGGTGAGGTCATCCCCTGGCCATGGGATTCTTGACTGTATAAAATGGAGAAGGGTAGCTGAACACTAAGCATGCACTCATTACTTTCTTCTTCTGACTTCAGATGCTTCAAATTCCTGCTCCCTTGGCTTCCCTATCAGGATGAATTATGTTTTGAACTGTGAATTAAACCTTTCCTGTCTTAAATTGCATTTGTCACTTATCATAACAACACAAAAAGAAAGTAAGATAGGTACTACCTAGATTCAGAGTGGGTATTCCCTCCTCAGTTACCTTTCTGCAAACACTTTCATGGACACACCCAGGGTGTGTTTCCTAGGTGATTCCAAATTATGTCAACAAGAAGACTAATCATTACAAAAACCTTCAATTGCTTTTCTTAGGTACACTGTATACTAATGCAAAGATAATTAACAAACCCCATTATTGAAGATAACATTAACAAACTGGTTAAGAATAGATCTTTGGTTCCTAGCCCAATTGTCATGAGGCTTTCTCTCCAGCTGATGGGAACAGATGCAGAGACCTACAGCCAAACAGTAGGTGGAAATTGGGTGGGGAAGGAAAGACTTCAGGAGCTAGAGGGGTGAAGACACCAGGAGAACATGACCCACAGAATCAACTAAGCAGATCTCATAGGGCTCACAGTGGCAATCACATGAGCCTCCATGGGTCTGCACTAGGTATTCTGCATAAATGTTATGGTTGTTAGCTTGGTGTTTTTGTGGGACTCATAACAGTGGGAGCTTGTTTTGGGGACTCCTTTTCTCCTCCTGGGTTGCCTCAAACAGCCTTGATATGAAAGTTTGTGCCTAGTTTTATTTCATCTTGCTATGTTGTGTTGGCTGATATCTCTGAAAGGCCTGCTCTTTCCTGAAGGGGAATGGAGGAGAAAATGGATCTGGGGGAGAGAAGACGTGGGGGGAGGCTAGAAGGAGTGGAGGGAAGGGAAACTGATAGGGATATATTATATAAAATAACAACAATAATAAAAAGAATAGATAGTGGAAAGGTCTAGGCGATGGCTCAATATATAAAGCACCTGCTGTGTAAATAAGCCTGAGTTTGAACTCCCAGAACTCAAGTAAAGCCAGACATGGTAAGGCATATTTATAATTTCACCATGGAATCCTATGAAATCAAAACTAAGTTAAATATTTTCTTACTGGAAACAGGAAGAATCAAGGCATACTTATAATAAAATCAAAGGAAAGAACCTTATAGTTCAGTGTCAAAGTTCTAAGAACTCCTATGGCAAGATGGTATGTAGAGACAGGAGAATCCCTGGAAGCTGGTGGGCCAGCTAACCTGGCATATGCAGTAGTGAACAACAAAGACTGTCATCTGATTTCTAAACACAGCTGTATGTGCAAGAGTGCACCTGCATGTACACATGTACACACAGACACACACACACACAGAAATGGATCACGGAAAAAGTAATAGTATTTAGCTGGCTCAAATGAAAACAAAAAGTTGGTTTATCACATAGCAGGCATTTAACAACAATGGTATTAACCACAATCTCTTTAATATAGAATAAAAGAAAAACTGACTTTTGGAAACATGCATTGCATTTTCCCTTTTTATGAGCAGGTATCAAGCTATTCATTGAAATAGGAAAAAACAACTTCAATATTTTCAGATCACAGTCCAGTTTTGAGTTTTAGACTGTAATAAATGGATGGAGACATTTAAACCTATGGATATTGGGTTAGGCTTTAAGATAGGAGGGCAGGGGGATAGTTAGTCCCAGTTTGATTTTTACAGGATGAAAACAGGCAACAGAGGAGAGTGAGTGGTTGTAGGTGATAGCCCAGAAAAAGCAACCTTGGTGGGCTCAAGAGAGTATGGAGAAAAACAAAGCAGGAGAAGCAGAATTCCCCAACCCAAAGCACTCTGACTTGTGGAGGGAGACGATCGTCTTTGTAGGAGTTAGGTAAGAGAAAACTACAGTCTGGCGAGGAAAGATGCAGGCTTCTAAAGAGCACACACAGCTGATTAACAGGGAACAATGAGTCAAAAATGACATTACAATCCTGAGCATATGCAAAGGCTTTGATGCTCCTAAATTTATAAAAAGCATACCAGAGGCTGGTTCCAGAACCCGCATGGTGGCTCACAATCACCAGTAACTCTAGTCGCAGGGGACCTACGGTTTCAAGGAATGCTTTCTTCTGACCTGCACAGGCATCAGACAAACATGTGTGCATACATGTTGGCAAGATACTCATACATATAAAGTAAATATATCCAAAAAAGCATACTATTGGAATTAAAGACAGATTAACACTAATCCAATACTATTAGGTGGCTAATGTCCCACGGTCTCCAATAGACAGGTTATCTGGACAAGAAATAGAAACATCAGAATCAGGAGTTAGAGTTATACATCAAATGAATATAACAGATATCTATAGAATATTCTGCCCAACTATCAATGAATATATATTCTACTCAGCAGCCCATGGAAACTTCCCCAAAATAGACTATATCCTGGGGCACAAAACAAATCTCAACAAATTCTGAACGACTGAAATAACCTCATGTATCCTACCAGACCACGATGCAATAAAACTTAAAATCAAGAGTAAGAAAATCTTTAGTGTGTACCCAAACTCAGAGACTAAATAACTCATTATTGAAAGGTGAATAGGCTAAACAGGAAATCAAGAAAGAAGTCAAAATTCCTGGAACTAAACCAAAGTGAAAACACAAAACCTACGAGACACATTAAAAACAAAACAAAAAACAACAAAACAAAACAAAACATACCACAAGAGTCCCGCTAAGGGAGCTTATAGCTTCAAATGCTATAAACTTCCTGGTTAGGAACCAGGAAGCCTGTTTCACTTACAGTTCACAGGGGAACCCAGACTCAGGTTAAGCCTGTCTCTGTGTGAGACCATCTCACCACACAGGCACAGCTCATGATACATCTGATCACAACTGACATGAGTTGTCCAAGTTTTACCCGCTGTACGCGTGTACCACAAAGATGTCTGTGCCCTACCTGCCCACAGGCATCGAACACGCAAGAGCTCTGGTCCTCTAGAGCTTTCATTTTATGCTCGGGATCCCGTTGAGCTTTTGTGGTCTCATCACTCCAGACAATGAGTAGAAAAACTCTGAGTGGCCAAGACATTTGGGGATCTCCATATACTTTATTTTCCTTCCTCCCATTCCTTTTCGGGGAAACAGCACCGACTACAGGCCGTTCCTCTCACAGTGCCTTCTCTTTCTTGAGGACCATTTCTCCTGTTCTTAGATGATGACACTTAAAATATCTATCCATTTTTTAACCTATTACTCAGCAGGATACAAACTACCCAGAAACCCACTTTTGTTTCAGAACAACCTCATCGGTAATTACAAAATACTTCTGTAATGTAATGTTTCCAAGTTTCTCTCGTTTTTCCCAATCTCGTCACTTTCTTATTCACCCTCATCGTGAGCTAGAACCGGGACCCTTAACTTATTCTAAGGAGAGTCTGACCTCAGGGGAAACGATTTCAGAGCAGAAGTTGCTACAGTCCCGTCGTCTTGAAAATTTGTTGTCCGTCCCTAAAAACCAAAACGCCTTTTCTGCTCAACCCCCGAGATGCTTGCACACATTATACCTGAGGCTTCCCCGCTATTGCCAATACTCGCTTGAAATAAAAGTCATGTCCCACCTCGCCGTCATCCTACTTTAAATCAACGTCCACAAGCAGTTCTAAGGCAAAAACGTTCACCGCGTCATGGAGGGCCTCGATTTCCCTCTTGCACTCCGGTCCCAGGTACGTGTATGAACGAGTCTGCCGAGCAGTAAATACCGAGACATTTAGGGACGTTGAGGCCCAAGCACTTGGATTGAGAGGGAGGGAGGAGAGCAAACTCGTGGGTTTCAGACGCTGCTTCTAGGACCCGCAGGGCTTCTCAGGACGCCGTGCACCCGCGGGTCCCCTCCCCCAGAGCCGGGGGCCCGTCACCCCGGGAGCTCCCGCAGTCCTGCCCGCCCGCCGCTCGGCGCTCACCATGCCTGCGCCCTGGCCTCCAGTGGCCACACTGCGGCTCGGGCGCCCCGGCTCCCTCAGGCTGACGTCAGGGACGGCCCCGCGACGGCGGGAGAGGGACTTCCGTCCGGCTCGCCGGCACTCGGGACGTCGGACACCAAGTCGGCACCCGTGCGAGCCTCGGCGTCAAAACCGTTCCTGCGGGGAGGGGTTACATGACTGCGGAGGTCGAGCTACCATGACTCCCTCCGCGCCAGGGCAGATGAGCGCCGAGGGCGTCACCAGAAAGGAAGATGGCGGGTGAGGGACTTCCGCCCCGCCCGCCGCTGCGTCTGCTCCGACAGCTCGCGGGGCAGCCCCCGGCCGCCGCCACCGCTGCCAAGGTTGGCCATCCCACAGCTCCGGAGCCCGAGCGGCCCCTGCTAACTCAGGGGCAGCAACCTGCAATCTTGCGACTCTCATGACGCAAGGAAAAAGGAAGATGGGCGTCTGCCAGTACTCAGTGGACCGTCCTGCTTGTTGATTCCTGGAGATGAAGTCATGAAGGGGCACAGGAAATCCTGGACTTAGTGTCCCACAGAGACCACCCTTTACTTCAGTGAACCAATGGATTTTCGGGGGAAGCGGGAGCTGTTTACCACCTGCTCGAGGGGTCTTTTCAGAGATCTCCATTCAGGTGAAGCCAGAAACACACACACACACACACACACACACACACACACACACACACACACACTTTGCTGTAGAAAAGAATTTCAGGCTGAGTCAAAATGAAGCAAGACTGAGGTTTAATATAAATACAGGAGAGATGGCTTAAAGATTACAAAAACTGACCTGTCTTCCAGAGGACACGGGCTCATTTCCCAGGACCCACAGAGTGTATAAACTTCAGTTCCAGGGGCTCTAACACCCTCTTCTGGTCTCTGTGACACCAGGCAGACATGTTGTGTACAGATGTACATGCAGATAAAAACACCCATAGGCATAAAATAAAAGATGTGGCCTTTTGATCCCCGGGTTCTCACTCAGTTTGTTTTCTACTTCCAATTATTTTACTGCAGATTTCACGATGTTGTTTTCTTTATGGCTGAGCAGAATTTCCGTTGTGCTTTATGTATCACCTTTTCGTTATCTACTCAGCAATTGAAAGGCATTTGGTTGTTTCTGCTTCCTACCTATTATGAATAGGGCAGCAATGAACATGGTTGAGCAAGTGTCTGTAGACCAGGATATAGAGTCCTCTTGGCATAAGCCAAGTAGTGGTAGAGCTGGGTTACTTGTCCTCACCAGGTTTTGGTCTCTAGTATACTAAAATGCAAATGTATTAAATGAGATTACTTTAACAATCATTTTCTCCCAGCTGTCAGTTTTCCAACCATGTCCCCATTTCTACACGAATTTCATAGCTGCTCCATGACCTGCACAATTTAACGGATATAATTTTTTCTTGTATGCTGTGCTTGTTCAATAGGATTTATAGACTCTGGTAACTGGATGGTCCCTTCAAAAGTGCTCCCAACTACTGTGAAATAGTTTCCGTCCTACCTGTTTATCTATTATCTAACTAGCCCATATTAATCCTTTATGAGTCTACTGACAGACAACAGAAGAATAGGAGTGAACACAGACAATCAGATTGATAACAGCCTTTAGACAACCACACAAATACCATCAGAGAAGACCTGAGAGTGATCTCTCCGTGGAAATGTGCCAGGCCTCCTTAGCCTTATTCCCCAGGGAAAGGTGAATGTGCTATCTGCCTGTTCAGTAGCCCCACAACTCAGGACAATCAGATCTGCAGCCACAGGACATCCTGTGATGTGGGTACCTCCAGCCAATGAGAGACAGCCAAGCCCTCCCTCTGGCTGGAGGGGCATCTACCTCGATTTTGCTGCCTCATCCCCACTCAGTAGCTTTGAGACTATCCTTCAAACTCAAGCCAGGCTTCTCTCCGTCCTACAGGCCTTGAGGTACAGGCCCTGAGATAATTTTAGCCCACCAGAAATGAACAGTAAATTATGACCTTTTTAAAAATAATAGTCCAGTGATGTTTTCAACTTCAGTAGCAAGGTCACATATGAATTAACTTTTAAAATAACCATTAGAATCCATGAATGTGTTTAAACTTTGAACTTTTGAATACAATTTTTACCTGATGTTAGCAAAAAGAATGTGGCATTTGGGAAAAATATGCACACTAGCAGCCCTGCACTAGACAGCATTATGGAGAATCCTCCACAGTCACTGTGACCTTCCCCTTGGTGGTGTGGTAGACAGGGAGGAAGGTCACCCAGACACTGCAGAACACCAGCATGATGAAGGTCAGGGACTGGGTTTTACTGAAGGTGTCAGGCAGGTTTCTGGCAAAAAAAAAAAAAAAAAAAAAAAAAAAAAAAAAAAAAAAAAAAGCCACAGTGAAGAAACTTCCTAGGGCAAGAGAGCCCCAGTATCTGAGAATTCTGCAGAAGGCAGTGTCAAAAAAGGAGGAGGTGTTCCTAACCATATCCCACAGGTGCTAAGTTGGATCAGCACACAGAGGGAAGCGATACATTTCAGAGCTCTTGACATAAGCATGTCCCTCATCTTCCTGTGTGAGAGATGGGAAATCACACCGACAGTAATAGTTTTGGCCAACACAGTGAAAAGAACCACAGTAAACAGGACTTCAGAAACAGTACCCTAAGGATACAGGTGACCATGCTGGGATGTTCAATGTAGATCAGGAAATAGAGAAAGTAAAATAATAGGGAGATGAATAGAACACAGCTGAGAGTCCTTTCCCAGTAGGAGTGTCTTAGTGTTCCTTAAACACCACAAGAACAAGAGCCCTTAGTACAGAGAACAGGGTCTTGCAAGTTAGAGCCATCTCCATAAGCCAGAAATGTCACTCTTTGGGGGCTGGAGAGATGGCTCAGTGGTTAAGAGCACTGACTGCTCTTCCAGAGGTCCTGAGTTCAATTCCCAGCAACCATATGGTGGCTCACAACCATCTATGAGACCTGGCACCCCCTTCTGGCTTGCAGGCACATATGGAATGAATGCTGTACACATAATAAATAAATAAATATTAAAAAAAGAAATGTCACTCTTTTATGGAGACAGTTCTCTTGCTCCTAGTTGGCATGCCGATTATCTGGACACTGTGTGCATTGATCCATATCTGATGCAGAGAGGAAAATGAGCACCAATACTGTTTTAGCATTTCTCTTATTCACAGTACATTTCAAATAAATATTTTGGAGAAAGTGAAAAATATCTCACTTTGTTGTTATAGATCACTCTGTTTTGTTACAAATTGGATTGGTCGACACAATTATTAACAATTTATAAAGCCAATCATCTTATAGTGGAGGAAACAATGCATTTACACATTGATGAACCTTTTAGTATTTTGGAAGAAGGCAAACATATGTTGTCTCTTAGAATATAAAGGATGCTGTAATAAAGTAACATTGACTAAATAATAAAAGTAAAAAAAATACTATTCGCAGTTCTGTAAACTGTCCAGTTGAACCATGTAACATGAACACTGGCTTGTTTGTTGTTGGGGTTTTGTCCTGCCTGGTACCCTGAAACTGTTTAGCCCCAAAGAAAATCACACATAGGTTTCCATAAATTATAAGCTGATTGGCCCATTAGCTCTAGCTTCTCACTGGCTAACTCTCACATCTTGATTAACCCATTTTTCTGATCTATGTTAGCCATGTGGCTCAGTACCTTTTTTCAGTGGGGCAGATTACATCCTGCTGCTTCTGTGGTCTGGGCAGGAGTGGGTGGAATCAACTTCCTCCTTCCCAGAATTCTCCTGTTCTCATTACATCATTTCTACTTCCTGTCTGGTTTTCCCGCCTATACTTCCTGCCTGGCCAATCAGCGTTTATTTAAAACATGATTGACAGAATACAGACAATATTCCTGCACCAGAACCACACAGCTTTAGATGATTCTTAAGCTTCTGAATTCTGTCTACCTACTTCATGGACAGTACATATGTCTATGTCCTCACATGGTATAAAGTGACAAAAACGCCCTTCCTAAGAGACTGAAGGAATTATATAGGCAATAATTCTATTACTGAATTTGGAGAGATCATCACACTATCAGTAGTAAAAAGCCCCATATCTTAATAGTCTCACTTTGAGGCTTATGTTTTAACATGTTAATTTTTCTTTTAGGGTAGAGTTTATTTAGTGTGTTATGGAGGGGAAAAGGAAAGGGTAGAAGGTGGGAGAAGGGAGAGGAGCAGTAGGTACCTCTCAGAAGAGGGACAGGAAGAGAGACAGCAGTCTGGAAATGGGGGGGGATCCACTTGCCTCAGCAGAAGGGAGGGGTTGAGAGTGGGTGAAGCTTCTCTCTTAAAGGGACAGGGTACCCAGGTGACAGGGAAAGTCAGTGAAATAATAACATCTCCATCTTTCTCTTATGATAAAAAGACAGGGGTTAGGCATGGCAGGTTAAGGGAATTGAGATGGCGGATTCTCAAGACTGCTTCCTGCTTATTTGTGGGTGTCATCTGGGGGGCAGACTTGAGAAAGCTGGGTGCTGTTCACATCCTGGGGTAGCTGGTCACTTTGGTCCTGTCCAGGGTTTATGGTATGGAACTGTTCGGTGTCTCTTAGACTTTGACCTGAGCAGCTAGGCTGTTGATTCCAGTGATTCTTCAGTTTAGATGAGAGGCAGTTTTTCCCAGTGGTCAGCAATTGGCAGTTGATGAAGCGAATTGCAGATGGATGTTGTTCTGTGCCCACTGTCTTCTGTCTACAATTTACAATATGAGACTTATTGCTTTTTTGGTCATTTGTAGTGATGGAGCAGGCACAGGATGTTGGAAAATGGTCTGAGATCAGGGTCCCCACATGTCCTCAGCCATCCCACCTCTCAGAAGAGGGACAGGAAGAGAGACAGCAGGCTAAAAAGGGGGGGGCTCTGCTTGTCTCAGCGGAAGGGGTTAACATGTTAATTTAAGCAGATACGGCACATATCGATTTCACTACATGTATATGCAAATGTCATGATTTAGGTTAATGAACTCAATGGTCAATAATTTCTTGAGAAAACAGCATAATCAAGGTATGTTGCCATTTTACCAGGGAAAAGACCTAATGATTGGAATGGTTTGAGTGAGAAGGGCCCCTGTAGGTTTGTGAATTTGGTTGCTTGGTTACCAGTTGGTGGAACTGTTTGGGAAGGATTAGGAAGTATGGCTTTCTTAAAGAAGGAGACAAGTCACCAGAAATGGGCTTTGGGGTTTTAAAAGTCCATGCCATTCCCAGTTAGCTCTCTGCCTTGGGCTCATGGATAAAGATGTAAGATAACAGCTACTGCTCTAGCACAGTGCCTGCTTGCCTCCTGCCATGCTCCAGACTATAATAGTTATGGGCTCTAACCCTCTGGAACTGTGAGCCCAAAATCAAACGAATTATTTTGTAAGTTGTCTTGGTCATGTTGCCTTAACACAGCGACAGAAAAGTAACTAAGACAGTAGTTGTGTGTAAAATTCCATGAGAATAAGAAAACACACAGTACTGTTTAGGTCTCTGTGAGAAAACACTGTACACCTTGATTGTCAAATGGGTAAAAAAAATAGAGATTAACAATTTCGGTAACCTCTTTCAAGAGATATAATTACTGATGACACAAATCAGATGATTCAGATAAGAGATTTTACTGTTCCTTGAAGATCCTACTTGTGCGCTGGAGTACAGAATCAACATGAGGAATTTATCACTGAGACATACACTTACCTGTTTCACGGGAAATTTCACTGCCTGGGCATGGAATGCAATCAAAACAGCAGACAGCCTTTCCCACTTGAGAAGATATCCTGAAGTCAGGACTGCAAGAAACACTGCATACAAAATGGGGAAACTGAGGAAAAGAAGATATATACATAAGTGAAACTTTAACTATCTCCAATACTATCATGGTTTAGAACCAGGACATTTAATAAATGTATTTTTTATAGTTAAGTGGCCATACTCTGTTTAGTATGTTATGGAGTATATTATTATTTATTGTCAGTATTCTGATTTTTGTGGGAGGATAAAGAATGAGGGTCACTCTAGGAGGAACTAAGTCCTTGCAGGAAGCAGACTTATTTCTTAGTCAATGCCTTAAGAACAAATACATGTTTATTTTTTTTTCAAAATCATGGTTACCTATTATTATTTGGCGAGCATTCATTTTGTGGAGCTCTCAGTTACCTCTCCAGCACCATGTCTGCCTGCAGGCTTCCATACTTCTGGCCGTGATGATAATGGACCAAACCTCTGACATGTAAGCCAACTCCAGTTAAATGTTTCCCTTAAAGAGTTGCTGTGGTTACGGTGCTTTTCACAGCAATAGAAACTTTAACTAAGATATCTTATAACAAGATGGCTGCTAATCTTAATATGGAGTCAGACTGGTCCATCACCTTACCCAAATTAACCAAGAGACATTGAGGGAAAATCCAAATTAATAGAATTAAAAATGAAAAAGAAGTTTTTACAGCAGACAACAATGGAAATTCAGAGAATCACGAGGATATTACTTAAAAATCTATATTCCAGAAAGCTGGTAAACTTAGGAAGTATAAATTTTTGATGTTTGTATTGTTTACTAATGTTAAATCTAGATGAGATAAACAATTTAAATAGCTTCCAAACTCCTACAGAAGTAAAATCAGTAATAAAAAACTTAATTTAAAAAGCCTAGGGCCAGATTGATTTAAGTCAGAATTATATCATACCTTAAAAGAACACCAATAATCC